TTTTGAGAATTTTATAAATTATATTTATTATTTAAAATGTGTATGTAAAATATATCTCAGAAATAAACTTAGCATGTAAACGCAATAAGATATATATATGTATATATATATTTATTTATTTATTTATTTATTTATTTATTTATTTATTCATTTAATTATATTTATATATATATAAGTCCAAGTTGACAACATGTTTCTACCTTTATAACGTTTTGTGTTACAATTATATTTTCGAAAACTAAAATGCTTTAACTTATTTCAATTCATTTCTTTATTATACCAGTTTACTATTCCATTTTATTTATTCATTTGTTTACTATTCCAGTATAATGTCTGGTTGTGTCAAAAAAATAAAAAGATTAATATTCAGACATTTACATATACGTAGTAAGATGTTAAATAATTATTTTGAATATCTCTCGTGAAACAAAAATAAACGGACACAAGTCATTAGGAAACGAGTAACTCCTTAACAAGTTCTCATCGGATATATATTTATAAGATCTAATACAAATATAACAGATTTATTTTATTGTTTTTATGTGCTAAGTCTATAAGTTTCAAGGTATTTTTCACATGTTGAGTTACTTCTTATATTATCAAACGTGCGAACGCGCACGTGTCGTAATAAGGACATTCGTTAAACTTGGACAATATCAAAGATTTGAAAATCGTTCAGTTTTTAAACGATAAGGCCTAAGCACCTGACGTGCTCTTTCGTAACACACGACTTACCTCCAATGAATTTGCCTGTTGTAAAGTATTAGTAGCATCCTGACCCGACAGCGCTAGGATGACAAGCGTCAAGATACCAGCGGCAAATATAGTTCGGCGAATTCCTGCCAAGACACGACGACGTGGGGTCATCTTCTCCCGCAGAATGTGTTTCCGCCTGTACTCATATCGGACTGAAACAAGTTAAAAAAAGACACAAACCTCACAAACTATAATCCGCTATAAGAAATTAGTTGGTCTGCTGTTCGTGATTGTGAATTGAATTTCTAGTGCTAGTGAAGATATGCCACATGAAAAATGAGTAAAGAATTTTTATCGAATGTGTTAATGTAGCGACGAATGAAGTTGGTAGCATAAAATTATAAGAAACATGAACAGTAAGTAATTGACCAATTTGGGAATTATCGACAAATTGTTACTTAGGTAGCTTTTGCTTACTACTTAGCTTACTAGTTTTATTGTTTATATTTTTGTATATATCGTCGGTGTGAAGCCTTATATTTTTTATTTTTTTAAATTTATTTTTTTATTTATTTCTTTCTCATGATATTATTGTATTCTCATTATATTATTGTATCAAAATAGTATATCCTTTTTTCTTGCATTACACATCCAAATTGGTTTTCCTTTGAGCCATCACTCAATAATACAGATTGCTGATATACATCAAAATTCTCCTTTTAAAAGGGAAACTTTTCTCTATTTTACAATTTATATTGTTGAACGTGAATGATGATACAATACAAAGGAAGTAATTTGTTTTGAGACACATCGCGAAAAAAGAATTCATTGTTTGTTCTTCACGTGATTTTAGCAGAATAGCTTTTAGAAATTACAAAATTACATATAAGTATTAGAGTCTAGATATATTATTTATAACTGTGCGATATATAATTATATATTTAAAAATTAAGAAAGGAGAAACGAAAAGATAGAAATTGCAAGAACATATAACGCGGTACATTTCTAAAGAAGATTTGGGCTTTCCGATATTCACTGTTAGTACTGAAAATCTGAATACGTTAAATGAAATATTAGTCTATTTAAATTTGCCGCTACTTCCGTAATACGAGGTCCCAAAAGTATCCGATTTCTGTTTATATGAGAAAGAGCTACTTCGGAATAATATGAACAATGTCGCTTTCAAAGTAATCTCTTTTTAAAACAATAACCATCTTCCAGCGGTCTACCCATTTCCAAAAGCAGTCCTGGAAGTCGTTTTTATGATAGCTAACAACTCCCTTGTGGCATTTCGTTTTATTTCCTCAACATCGTCAAATCTTTTGCCCTTCAACAGATTTTGAGCTTAAAAAATAACCAGAAATCTCACAGGGCTATTGTTTGTTAGCCTATATCTGGACTGTACGGGAGTTGACGAAGTTGGGCAATTCCGTATTTAGTCAAAAATTCTGAATCAGGTAAGATGAATGAGCGGGTGCGTTGTCATGGTACAGCAGCCAATTTCCACTTTTCCACAAATGCGGTCGGTTCCTCCTCACTGCGTCACGCAATTGTTTAAGAACTTCCAAGTAATACTCCTTGTTTATTGTGCGACCTTGTGGAGCTTTGATATTCATGGAGTATAACATCTTCCTAGTCGAATAAAACAGTGAGCGTTGCCTTCACGTTGCTCCGACTCTGGCGCGCTTTCGTAGGTCGAAACTCTTCTCTCGTCGTCCATTGCGAAAATTGTGCTTTTTATAGAGTCATTATTATAAACTTTACGATCATACCGATTGTCTCGGAACATGGCCAAGTTTTTGGCAAAATTTAATGTAAATTCTCTGCTCGACTCGCTTAGTCATTGTGAAATGCGACGCTTGGAATTTTCGACGCTCACACAACTGCATACCAATGCCGACTGAACAACTGTTGGGTCGTGTCGCTTAGTGGAAGTACTCCTCAAGGTTCCCTCTAAATACTGAATGCTTATTTTGCACAATAGGATGCCCAAGGATATACGCAGAAGTCACATATTTCTCGGACAGACTTCGATTCATAAAAGTATTGTTACGCCCGTGTCTTGATGCCCGCGCTTTTAGCGCCCTAAACATACAGCTGATTCTCTTGGCAACGAGTCGTAAACAACAGATGATCAGCGTTGACGGATAAACAACGGGTTAGAGAGATTCTCTCTGGGGCGGTTGAGTAGTCGTGACGTGCGCGACGGTCTTTAACGAAAGAGAGAGCTTGAGCCTGTGAGTTACGTGTGTTTCCTTGTAAATAGTAAATATAGTTGAAGTTGTTTTGGGTTTGGCTAAAAGCGCGAGCATCAAGACACAGGCGTAACAGTATATTAAGGCTCTGTGGCGGCTACTCACCGCCTTGAAGCTGTCACCTGATATAGCAGACGACTCTGTCGCTATAGCAGAAGACACTGCCTTTGATGCTACTTTCGGACGAAACACTCGTTTGTTTTCACGACGCTGGTTTCGGGCGAAATATTCATCTGATTTCACGGCGTCGGTTTTCCACCGCTAGGCAGCACATAATTTACTTATCACAGTGAAAATCACTCACCGAAATTATATAAGATAGCACAGCGAGAGGCTTGATCAATTAATATTCTTAACTTTAAAGCGATGACACATCTAAGCCTTAATTCTTATCAGGGAAGACAAGATATGGGCTTTATAAAAAGTTAAAGAGTTGAAAAAGTTACAGTTTCTCTTATAGAATATTACCAGTCTCAACAACGATGCAAAGCTCCAGTCCCAACGAAGACAACGCAGACCTTCAACCTCAACAACGCAGAGCCCCAGCCTCAACGCAGACAACGCAGAAGCTTCAGCCTCAACAACGTAGAACTTCAGCTTCGACGTAGACAACCATGCCATCTTAAAAAGCAACGTACCGTCTTCAAAGCAGAGCATTTTCCTCAACGGAACACTCTCCTAGACAGCGCTTCTTTATCGATGACACTCTTCTAGACAACACGTCTTCCTCAGAAACAACACGCGACGTCTTCAGCAGCGCAGCATTTCAACAGCACACTACTTCAGCAGTACACCACTCCAGCGTGCTTCTTCAGCAGCGCGCTTCTTCAGTAACGCGCCACCTTCAGCAACGCGACGCATCGTCTTCAGCAGTGCGCTACCTTCAACAGCGCGACTTCATCGAGCGTCTTCATCAAAACAACACTATGCTCCTGGCGATTATTTCAACGCCGAGCTCTCGGCTACACAGCCTCATTCTATTCTAACGTGGAACTTTAATTTTACTCAACAATCTTAAGATTAAACCTCAGTAAAGAATATTTGTTATTCAAAAAGAGTCCTCCCTTTCAACATTTTAGCGAACCTTCTAAAACTACACCACGAAAAATGCTAAAAGCTCCATATTGTGATTGTTCTTCATAATCTCTATAAGTAATTAAAAGGGTTATTCCGTGGTGTAAATATAAATATGTTCTTTTAACAATGAAAATAAAACATAATGGTGTTATAGCATTATACTTAGCTATGGAAAATCATAAGCGATTATTGTAAATGAATTGCGACATTTAAAAGTGAATGAAATATTTGTATATCGTACGATAAATCGTTATGAGACAATTGCTAACATTGTTAAACATTATAGTGGTGAACGAAAAAAATCGCTATCTTGTCTGCTATGGTGTGAAAGGTAAAGGCTCATACGAAATCTACAATGTATCACACAAGGATTAATAAATGAACTTCAAATTTCGGATCGACGTCTCCGGCATATACTAAAATATGAACTTTGACTAAAGTCTACAAAATATAAAAATATAAAGATCTCAATGACAAATAGAAGAAAATAAGGTTTGTAAGTTGAAAAGAGTTGAGACGGCTGCACGCAAGTGGAGACCTTCCTAATATCATTCTCTCTGATGAGAAAATGTTTACTATTGAATAGTTTGCAAACAAGCAAAACGATCGTATGTGGTTGGCAGAGAAGTCCTACGAAAAATTTAAATATTTATTTAGTCACGAGAAGACGGGCTTTAGCCCAAGTAATAATGTGGGCGGTAGTAACAGCGTCTGAAAACGTTCTCCGTTGATTATTTTGGGCCAACATTTAAAAATTAATTCTAATTTGTACCAGGAAAAGATGCAAGTATTGAAGTTGTGTTCAACAACGTTTCAGTAACAAAAGCGTTCAAAAAAAACTTTTCAAAAAAACTCAATACTGTCACATAAAATGTGTTAAAATGTGTGTGATTAACAATCAACAAAGATTACAAAACAATATTCCGTATTTCATTTCATCCACATAAAGGCCACTTTCTTCACCTTATCTTAATCCTATGGATTATTCCATATAAAGCATGTTAGAGGCTAGAGTCTGTCGCAAAAAATATGCAAGTTTTAACACTCTTAAGGCAAGTCTTCGCCGAGAATGAATTGTTATTTCTCAGAAACAGATTCGTGCAGCGTGCACAAATATGTTTATTGAAAAAGTCAACCTCGTCATATGCTCAAAAAATGAAGTTATTTTGAAAAATAAAGCCAGATTATTAAACTGTAACCAATTTTCTCAGTGTCACAAATCTTCAAATAAAATTATCTAGACAAATTTGATTGATTGTGATATTTTGAATTACTAACACTTTATTCGCCACATCCTATATAGTATACGTAACATAAACTATAAATGTTTAGTAGTAAATTTTGCAACACAACCCTAAGGATATTCTGCACTTAGCGTTCGTTGTTCTGTTTTTCACTAGAATATATTGAGTATCTCGCGTATAGAAAAACACAGTGCGATTCAAGTATCGATGCAATTGGGATAACTATTGAAGCGTTCATGTTGCTTGAAAGTGTTCAGATTGTAGACTCGAGTACTAACGATAGTAAGCGACGAAGGAAATCGGAGGGATAAATATGTCACGTTTATTTGCGGAATGTCGCGGAATGGGTAGCAGAATCAGCGAAAACGCCAAACCAATGGATAATCAGTATCGCATTTCATGAAATTGCAAGATTGTGAGTATTATCGTACTGAGCAGTCGAGGAGCAACACAAATTTCCATATAATATACTATAATAGACTGCAAATTATACAATCTCTTAAATGTCTCTTAATTTTATTCTCAAAGTTGGTATACAGGTTAAAATGCATACGCGAAATAATAACAAAAAATGTAGCCTCTTGCTATCTACGCAATATTTGACGTTTATAGATCATCAGATAATTTTTATAATTTTTGCAATTGAAAAAATATAAAATATTTAAACACAAGAAACGAGGTGTTTTAAATAATGTATGTATAATTGATATATGTAAGTTATTATATTGAATATTTTTATATATTATATTAAAATTATAGCTAAATAAAACTAATTTTAAAGGAATAAGGATTCTTTTTTT